CCAGTGCATTATGGTGGGGCCCACTCGACACGTCACCTCAAGTCATTGGACTCTGAACGCAAACTATGTTTAGAGTCGTGACGGAATATTTTCTCCCTTTTTAGAGAAGCAGATCCAACAATTCCTCATCACAATCCGACTCGTTCAAGAAATGACAAATCAACCTTCCTCATGGAGGCAAAATGTGCAAATTTATTCTGAAATCAATATAATATAAAGTAATAATTAATTTATATGCTGTTTTATTTTAAAGAATACTAATCATTTAAAAACAATTTCTGACCAAATAATTAAAATTGAAGTTTATCTTTTATCCTCCAAATACTTTGTTTAAATCTCCATTCGATATATTTGTAAAAAATTAAAAAAAGAGGACTTTTCATTTATCTTTATTGTTTTTTTATTAGAAATTAGACGTACATATTGATTTCCAAAGCCAATGCGCGGCTCCGTTTGGGCCGCGTATTTCGCGCGGCGCGACCGAAACTGATAAAAAAGAGGAGAAGGATATACTCTAAAATGGCATTATCGTAGTTTTCTAGAATTCTGTGGCACTTTCCATTAGCAGCTGACCGACCTCTTCTTGGTTTTTCTTACAGTTGTCATATAAATAGCAGCTTATAAAGCGAGGCGGCAGCATCCCAAGTAAGAAAGAGCTTATACGTCGTCTTCTACCTCGACGCCTTGAGGTATTTCTTCTTCCCAGCTCCGTTAATGGAGCATTCGGTTTCTTCGGAACTGACCGCCAGGACTGGGAAGGCACGGGTCGACATGGCTTCGTTCCAAAGATCAGATCTTTCAATTGGTTTCCTTCCCGCTGATAATAGGTTGGTTCGGGCTTTCAACAATTTCAAGAAGAGCGGGGTTCCTTCCAGGTTCCTGCTTTTCTCTGAAGGCGCCTGGGAGGACCTTGAACGCAATGTGTTCGACGAATTGAAAGCAGGTTTCTTGGCCGGCAAGACAAGTTTGAAGATTGCTGCCTGCGAAAAATCCCATCTTTTTGATTTTCTCCGTATGACGAGGATTGATCTGAATACAGGAAAGTGGAATTCGATAGGGTGGATTGATGTTCATGGTAAATGTTTTTTTCCAGGAATTGAAAAAGAAATTCTTTCAGAGTCATTGGGGGGGTTTCGAGTTTTTCAGAAAGGTCATCATCATGTTCATTGCAGAAAAGAACTCTGTGATGAAAACGCAGAGGTCTCATCTAATAGATGGCCGGATACCAAATTGCTGAGAAAAGATGACAAGTTCTATAAAGTGGTGGAAAAATTGTTCCTTTCCGGCATGAAAAGATTCATTCCAGATACTGTCATCACTTCCATACACAAATGCTCGCATTCCAGTTCCTCAGCCAATTCTAGGCTATTAACTTTCCAGTTTCATAGAAAACAAGCAGTGGAAGCCCGAGGGCATTGCAATATCAAATTTGGATGGTTTGGTTCGTCTGCAAGCAGTGTTTCTGCAATTCTGTCTGATGGTTTCAGACAAACAAACAGCGCTCGGCCCGGGGTTTGTAACCATGGCTTTGGCATCCATCTTTCATCACCGCATTCTCCTTATGACAGGTATTCACTTGCACTTGTTTGAACTTTATGGGGCAAGTTTTTTTATACGTGTCGTGATTTTGATGAGTAAATGTTCATTACAGTGCTATGCTATCAGAAGCTGATGAAAATGGCGAGAAGCATTTGCTGCTTTGCAGAGTTATAATGGGAAAATCTGAGAAAATAGAGGCAGGATCCATTCAGGACCATCCCAGCCATGCAGATTTTGATACTGGTGTTGATGATATTGTGAATCCAAAATGGTATGTGGTGTGGAACACTCACATCAGGACGCATATTGTTCCTGATTTCGTTGTGAGCTTCAGGTCTTCAGGAAATTCTGGAGGTATGGCAACTAATCTTCAGCTTGTTTTTTATTTCACCGAATCAGGTTTTGGAATCTTAGTGTTTTTTTTTTTTGTTTTTTTTTTTCTGGATATAGGATTGAGGAAGCCGATAGGAGTGCAAAAGCTGTCTTCTTTGACAAATCTTCCATTTTGGAAGCTTTTTGCAGAGATTGGAAGATGCTTGCCTTCTTCCAAAATGCAAGCTTTGGAGGTTTTTTACAATCAATATAAGGTAAAATTGAAGTTATTTGGTCCTGTGATTTAAGATAATATATTGAGCGAAGTATAATCAAAATTTTGGCGCATTTCTTTTTTGTTTCAGGTGGGAGAGATCAGTAAAGACATATTTATTAGATACATGAGGTCCATTGCAGGGGACCAGCTGTTGACTTCCACTATAAAGAGATTGAGCGCTTGTTAATGTATTCTTATTTTCGGGGCTGTTGAGTCCTTCTGAGGCGGTGAGGTTTCTATACAAAAGCAATTCAACTACTAGAGTTGACCAATTCAATTTAAAGGAATAAATACATCATTTTTTTTAGTCGGTTAAGTTTTTACTTTAGTTTCTTATATAGGTTTACTCAATTCTTATTGGACTTTTGTACTTATATTTGAAATTGGAAAATCTTTTATTTAGTATATGTCTATACCTTCTCAATATGTTGAATGAATTGCCAAATAATTAAGAAAATTTGAAATTGTATTCCTCTTAATGGATAATTTTGAATTAATATCTTTGATTTATGTTTGTTTGGCATCTGTCTTGTGCAGCCTCTTAAATAGAATGAGGCTTAACTTTTAGACATCGAAACATCTTTTGGTGGAAGGGTTGAAATTTCATTAGAAGTTTCAAAGTTAAACGCGCTCTATTTGTTGGGTAATGTGGAAATCCAGTCCACCGAAATTTAATTAACTTCCTAATTAAGAATCTCACCTACAACAACTTACTTAATTTCCACCTACCGCTCACCTACCACATCTCACCAACCGCTCTCCTATCTCCCACCTACCGCTCTCATGGTTTCTATGAATAGTCTCTTTTGGTTTAAAGGAGAAGTCCCAAGCCAAGCAAAGCCAAGCAAGAGCAAGCTAAGTCATCTTGAGAGCTAAGAGAAAGAGAGGAAGAGAGAGAGAGGAAGGAAGAGAAGAAAATAGATATTTTCATGTAAATGTTGAGGCCCTCGACGGTGCAATTCCTCAAAGAAATAAATTCTCTGCAGCTCCGTGGACGTAGGCAAATTTGCCGAATCACGTAAATCTGTGTGTCGCTCTGGTATTTTCTGCATGCAATTTTACTCGCTTCATTTTTTCGTTTTATTGTCATCATTTTTCACAACAACTGGTTTCAGAGCCTTGGGTTTGAATCTAAGGAAGAACAATGGGCGGAGACGAAGTGATGAAATCGGGGATCGAGAAAATCGGTGATCGAGAAGTTCAATGACACAGATTTTACTTACTGAAGGATGTAATAGAAGACTACCTCTATGGGAAGAAACTTTATCTACCGTTTCCGTTACTTGGAAAGCGACCAGAAAAGATGGATGAGGCGGAATGGAATACGCTGGATCGACATGTTCTGGGGGTTATACGATTAACCCTGTCGAGATCGGTTGCCTACAACGTCATCAAGGAGAGGACTACTGCAGATCTCATGGTGGCTTTATCAGGTATGTATGAAAAGTCATCGACGAATAACAAGGTGTATTTGATGAAAAAAGTTATTCAACTTGAATATGATGAAAGATGTCTCTGTTGCTCAACACCTGAATGATTTCAATACTATCACAAATCAATTATCGTCTGTTGAAATTGATTTTATGATGAGATACGTGCACTGATATTGTTTGCTCCATTGCCAAATAACTGGGAAACCATGAGGATGGCAGTTAGCAGTTCAACACGTAAATCCAAACTGAAATATGATGATATTCGTGATTTGATTTTGGTTGAAGAGGTGCGCAGGAATTCTGGTGAGGCATCGTGTTCAAGTTCAGTGCTGAATGTTGATTCCAGAGGAAGATCACATGACAGTAACTCAAACTGAGAAAAATCAAAATCAAAGTCTGGTCAGCAGACAACCTGTTGGAATTGTGGCAAGGCTGACCACATAAAAAAGAACTGCAAGAATCTTAAGAAGAAAGAGAATTATGGAGCTAATGTTGTAACTAAAGAAATACATGATGCATTATTGCTGACAGTTCACAGTTCTGTTGATAACTAGATACTAGATTCAGGGGCTTCCTTCCATACATCTTCCTGTCGGGAGTTAATGCAAAATTATGTTGCAGGTAACGTTGCAGGTAACGTAACTTTGGAAATGTACATCTGGCTGATGGAAAAGCTCTGGACGTGGTAGAGATGAGAGTCGCTAGTATTGCACTCCCTAATAAGAGCAAATAGACATTATAAAAGGTCAGACACGTTCCTGAGTTAAAGAAAAACCTCATCTCTGTTGGGCAGCTCAATGAAGGTGGTCATTCAGTGGTGTTCTCAGATAGCACCTGGAAGGTTACCAAATGAGCAAGAAGCATTAGTAATGACTCAGGGTAAGAAAACTGACACATTATATATGAGTACAAGTTTACTAAGGCGTGGACACATGAGTCAGAAGTGCATTATGGGGAAATAGAAGAAGGTTCATTTTCTGAAAAGTGGCAGAGCGCCAAAGGCAGGAAAACCAGACTTTGTACAGACAAATGATGGAGAACCACAAAGTTATGAAGAAATCTTGCAATAAGATAATTCGAGCAAGTGAGAGCTGACCAAGAATGTGGAAACAAATTCCCTGTCAATGAATCGGACTTGGGAGCTGGCAGAACTTCCACCAAGGAAGAAGACATTGCACAACAAGTGGGTGTACCGGGTGAAGACCGCGCTTGATGACAGTAAGAGGTACACGGTTAGACTTGTTGAAAAGGGATTTCAACAGGGGCAGGATATTGCTCATGCAGTGGGAGTTGTAAGCATATACAAGAGTAACCCAGTAAAGAGCTTGGTGGTACGAGGCTACGTTGACGGTGATATGTCAACTGGGGTGTTACTCGTGAGAAGCTGAAGTTGTGCTCAACTTCAACTGGTCTTCTGGCATAAAGACATGGGTTTCAAGTTGCGGAGGTGGAGGATATCATGTTTGAAGAAAATGTCGGTACAACTAGTAGATGATGCAGCTAGTAGGTGATGCAGTCAGTGTCCCAGTCTCCAAGTGGGAGAATTGTTGGGTAATGTGGAGACAATCCACCAAAATTTAATTAGTTTTCTACTTAAGAATCTCACTTACCGCTCACCTACTTTCCACCTACCGTTCACCAATCACATCTCACCAGCCGCTCACCTACCACATCTCATCAACCGCTCACCTACCTCCCACTTACCGCTCTCATGGTGTCTATAAATAACCTCTTTTGGCTTAAAGAAGAAGTCTCAAGCCAAGCAAGACCAAGTCAAGTCATCTTGAGAGTTAAGAGAAAGAGAGGAAGAGAGAGATAGAAAGAGAGAGAGGAAGGGAGAGAAAAAATAGAGATTTCTTATAAACGTCGAGGCGCTCGACGTTGTAATTCCTCGAATAAGTTGGAGAATTTTTGGGTAATGTGGAGACAATCCACCAAAATTTAATTAGTTTCCTACTTAAGAATATCACTTACCGCTCACCTACTTTCCACCTATCGTTCACCTACCACATCTCACCAGCCGGTCACCTACCACATCTCATCAACCGCTCACCTACCTCCCACCTACCGCTCTCCTGCCACCTACCGCTCTCATGGTTTCTATAAATAGTCTCTTTTGGTTTAAAGAAAATTCAAGCCAAACAAGACTAAGTCAAGTCATCTTGAGAGTTAAGAGAAAGAGAAGAATAGAGAGAGAGAAAGAGAGAGAGGAAGAGAGAGAAAAATAGAGATTTTCTTGTAAACGTCGAGGCGCTCGACGTTATAATTCCTCGAAGAAATAAATTCTCTGCAGCTCCGTGGACGTAGGTAGATTTGTCGAACCACGTAAATCTGTGTGTCGCTCTGGTGTTTTTTTGCGTGCAATTTTACTCGTTCTATTTTTCGCTTTATTGCTGTCGTTTTTCACAACACTATTACGAGAGCATTGAGGCCATTAAACCAAAGATGGTAATATCTCGATGGATAAGAGTTTGGGCTATTACAAATGGTATCTATTAGATACACGAGGTCAAAACCTAAGGGTTAGCGTAAAAAAAATGAGAGTTAGACAGAAAAAAAAGACTAGTAAAACATTTTGTCTATCTCATTTTTTTTATAAAATAATTCTTCTATTTATAGGAGAGATTAGGGGTGTAAACGAATCCGAGGTCAAAACCTAAGGGTTAGCGTAAAAAAATGAGAGTTAGACAGAAAAAAAATGACTACTAAAACATTTTGTCTATCTCACTTTTTTTATAAAATAATTCCTCTATTTATAGGAGAGATTAGGGGTGTAAACGAATCGACACGAACGAACAGAGGTTGTGTTCGTGTTCGGTTCGTTTGAAATTTAGTTTGTTTGAAATAAGCTCGTGTTTGAAATTGTTCGTGAACTCACTGTTCGTGTTCGTTTCTTAACGAACGAGCCGAACACGAGCTTTTCGCGAACGACGAACCAGTTTGACATCCCTAATATTAATATATATAAATAATATATTATATTAATTATATAACTCATATTATATAAATATATAGTATCTATATTTGTATATTACTAATATAATATATTAATATATTATTATTATTAATTTATTATATATTATAATTTATAAAATTTATATATATAATTATTTTAAATCATTTTATATTTCAAACAATAACGTTTTGAACACGAACGACCACATCACTATTTGTGTCTGATTCGTTTTAACCAAACAAAAAAAATTTGTTCATGTTCGTCTCATTCATTTATCGAACGAATCGAACACGAATTCATTGACGAACCGAACACAAACTATTCACGAACAACAAGCTTTTTTGACAGCCATACCTACAGACATTTTGGTCCTTAAAATTTCTGCCTGGATTCTAACGCAAGAATTTATAGCAAATAGGCTCCTTTCTAAAAATTTCATATTTCAAATGCAAATAAAAAACTTTAGATGTTATAGAAATGTAAATTTCTCAAAAACATTAGGGTTTCCCCTTAAATAGATAAATTACTTGCATAAATATCGGCACATTCTTTTTTTTAAGCATAAATGTAAATAGGAATGTTTAGGCCTTAAAAATTCAAATAAATAAGAATTGTGGTAAATATATGTAAATTTCCCTTTAAGTATAGGTCAGCCACTTGTCTTTAATGCCCATATTTGTCATTATAAAGAGCATGCCTCTTAAGATTTTAGTTCAAAGAAGGTAAATAGCGATCAAAATTTGAAACAACTGCGTACAGCTACTTCACGTTTTGAAAAGCTCAAAAATTTTCATTTTACAAACAGTTTGGGTGCAATACTTTCTATGAAATTGTTATTACAAAAACTATGTTGCTGTTTCAGACAACCATTTGCTCCCTAATTTAGAACCTAACTTTTTTTAAAGCGATTTTGTAACAAA